AATATTTTTGTTCTGTATTTACAGATGAAAATGAAGGAAAGGGACCTCGGTTGAGAAAAAGGATAAATGAGTCATTTATTACACGTGAGTTTACAGAGGAAGAGGTTCTATTTCAACTGTCAAAAGTAAAGACAAATAAGTCAATGGGACCTGATGGAATACACCCAAAGCTATTAAAAGAGCTTAGTGGTGTACTAGCAAAACCATTAACAGATTTATTTAACCAATCATTGTTAACAGGAGTAGTCCCAGAAGATTGGAAGTTAGCAAATGTTGTGCCCATTTACAAGAAAGGTAATAGGGAGGAGTCGGGCAACTATAGGCCAGTAAGCCTTACTTCAGTAGTGGGGAAAGTGATGGAAACCATGTTAAAGGATAGGATTGATGAACATCTAAAAACACATGGATTTCAAGATCAGAGACAACATGGGTTTACTTCAGGGAGATCATGCCAAACTAATCTTATTGATTTTTTTGATTGGGTAACTAAAAGTATAGATCAGGGTGGTGCAGTAGACATTGCTTACCTAGATTTCAGTAAGGCTTTTGACACTGTTGCACATAGAAGGCTTATCAATAAACTGCAATCTTTAAGTTTGGATTCCAATATTGTTGAATGGGTAAGGCAGTGGCTGAGTGACAGGCAACAGAGGGTTGTAGTTAATGGAATATATTCGAAGCTTGGACTTGTCACCAGTGGGGTACTTCAGGGATCTGTACTTAGACCCATTCTCTTTAATATTTTTATTAGTGATATTGCAGAAGGTCTTGATGGTAAGGTATGTCTTTTTGCTGATGATACTAAGATATGTAACAGGGTTGATGTTCCAGGAGGGATAAGCCAAATGGCAAATGATTTAGGTAAACTAGAAAAATGGTCAGAATTGTGGCAACTGACATTTAATGTGGATAAGTGCAAGATAATGCATCTTGGACGTAAAAACCCAAGGGCAGAGTACAGAATATTTGATAGAGTCCTAACCTCAACATATGAGGAAAGGGATTTAGGGGTGATTATTTCTGATGACTTAAAGGTAGGGAGACAATGTAATAGAGCAGCAGGAAATGCTAGCAGAATGCTTGGTTGTATAGGGAGAGGTATTAGCAGTAGAAAGAGGGAAGCGCTCATGCCATTGTACAGAACCTTACTTGGAGTATTGTACACAGTACTGGAGACCGTATCTTCAGAAGGATATTGATACCTTAGAGAGGGTTCAGAGAAGGGCTACTAAACTGGTTCATGGATTGCGGGATAAAACTTACCAGGAAAGGTTAAAGGATCTTAACATGTATAGCTTGGAGGAAAGACGAGACAGGGGGGATATGATAGAAACATTTAAATATATAAAGGGAATCAACACAGTAAAGGAGGAGACTATATTTAAAAGAAGAAAAACTACCACAACAAGAGGACATAGTCTTAAATTAGAGGGACAAAGGTTTAAAAATAATATCAGGAAGTATTACTTTACTGAGAGGGTAGTGGATGCATGGAATAGCCTTCCAGCTGAAGTGGTAGAGGTTAACACAGTAAAGGAGTTTAAGAATGCGTGGGATAGGCATAAGGCTATCCTAACTATGAGATAAGACTAGGGACTAATGAAAGTATTTAGAAAATTGGGCACACTAGATGGGCCGAATGGTTCTTATCTGCCGTCACATTCTATGTTTCTATGTTTCTAATATTGGATACAGTCCCCCAAAAAAGAAAAGACCACCCTCTGAATCCAAAAAAGGGGAACCTGACACAAGTCCTCCATTACCTATCATGGGGCACCTATTAAAATAATTAATAGGGGGGGAACAACCTGTGCCCCTTTGAGTAGGGGCTATAAAACTAAAACAGGGGACCATTAGCAGCACTACCAGCCCCCACACCCTTATAATAGGGAGTAATAAACTAAACAACTAAAATTTTAAAACAATTAATACTTATCATTAGATTTTTTTTCTTTTTTCTAAAATCTTATTTTCTCAGCCCCAAAAAAGACTAAAGAAAAGCTCATAAAGCTTGTCGAACTAATAAAATAAAAATACAAAAAGAAAAGTCCTGCGCTCATCAGCTAAAACATATAGTACCAAAGAAAAAAACCAAAGAAAAAGTTACCTGCGCTCTCTCCTTAATCCCTATGCATATTTAAACAAATATTGGTCATTTAGTTACTCCAATGGCCACTGGAGGGAATGGCCGCCTGCCAACGTCAAGGCAGACCCCCCTAGATGGGTCCTACTCTGACCCTTCACCTTGCTTCCTTGAGCTTCTGGCAAAGATATCTCTAGTGAGACTGAAAGGGTTATTTTTTATATACACCCCTTGCAACCCGGTATGTACGCCAGTGTGGGGGGCCCTGGAGTTGGCCACCTCAGGGCCCCCCGAGGCTGGCCCTGGTGTCACCGGGTGAGCTGATGGGTACGCGAGGGAGCGCTCTCCCCTGAGCGCTCTCTGCCCGCAGTGATACCGGTGCCTGAATATGACGTCATTCAGTAAGTGGCGCGCGAGGGAGCTGGGCAGAGAGTGCTCCCTCGTACACCCGCAGGACCGGCCGCCGGGCAGCCCCCTGGACCCCAGGGAATCCCCCTCAGCACCAAAGGTAAGGAGGCTGGGGGACTAAATTAAAAAAAATATATATGAGTGTGTGTGAGTGTGTATATGTGTGTTAGTGTGTGTGTGTTAATTTTTGTGTGTCAGTGTGTGTGTGTGTGTTACTGTTTGTGTGTCTGTTACTGAGTGTGTTAGTTGTGTGTGTCTGCTAGTGTGTCAGTGAGTGTATTAGTTTTTTTGTGTGTGTTAGTTTGTGTGTGTCTGTTATTGAGTATGTGTCTGCTAGTGAGTGTCAATGTGTGTGTTCGTTTGTGTGTCAGTGAGTGTGTGTGTGTGTCAGTGAGTTTGTTACTGTGTGTCTGTTACTGAGTGTGTTTGTGTGTGTCTGTTAGTGAGTCTGTTTGGTGTCTGTTAGTGAGTGTGTGCTTGTCAGTGAGAGTGTATGTTTTCTAAGTGAGTGTGTATGTGTGTCTGTCACTGAGTGTGTCTCTGTCAGTAAATATATGTGTCTGTTAGCTAGTGTGTATACGTCTGTTCGTGAGAGTGTGTGTGTTTAAAACCCCTTCAGCACTTACCTTTCTCCAGCGCTGGACTCCCTTGGCACTTAGGATCCCTCCGCCCCGATCCGCCTCTCAGCTCCGAAAGCGCATGCACGGCAAGAGCCGCACGCGCATTCAAACCACCCATAGGAAAGCATTACTTAATGCTTTCCTATGGACGTCCAGCATCTTCTCACTGTGATTTTCACAGTGAGAATCGCAGAAGCACCTCTAGCGGCTGTCGATGAGACAGCCACTAGAAGATGGATTAACCCTCAGTGAAACATAGCAGTTTCTATGAAACTGCTATGTTTTCAGCTGCAGGGTTAAAACTAGAGGGACCTTGCACCCAGACCACTTCATTGAGCAGAGCACTCTGCGCAGGAGGGGGGGGGGAAGGCCCACTGTCTGCTAACAGTTTAGTAGATATGCCCCTACTTGCGACATAGTGAGTAGGGGCAGGAGGAAGATATTAAACTCCCTTATTTACTAACACTAAAACTCACAAACTCACTAAACATAGCAATAAATAAACACCATTACACAGTTATTCACTAACGTGTGAATTGTTGGGAATTTTTAGTGTACACAAATGGCCACCATTAGCCAAAATGGAGAAATAATCTGCCAGCTATGTTTTCAGTTCAATTATTTGGCCTTAAATCAAAGCAATTCACTTTTTAATGAAGCAATAAGAATTCCCAAAAAATCCCCTTCAACCAACCTCAATTATTTAGGGCAGTGGTAGGCAACCTTTGGCTCTCCAGATGTTGTGGACTACATCTCCCACAATGCTCTAACAGCCATAATGCTGGCAAAGCTTGGGAGGTGTAGTCCAAAACATCTGCAGTGCCGAAGGCTGTCTATCCCTGATTTAGGATGTTGGTAAATGCTATAATCAATGTTATTCACTTCACCTGTCAGTGGTTTAATATTGAGGCTGATAAGTGTATGTTATAGAATATGAACATTTACTGGCAAATAGTGACATCTAGTGGTGTAATTTTATCACTACATGTATACCCAGGTATTTTGATGAATATGTTTAGAAAGTGCTAATCGATGTGTCTCATTCTGATATTAAATGGTTTAAAATATATTAATGATGTCTCTTCATAACAGGCATATTGCAGATTTTATTTTATTTAAGGGAAAACTGCACTATTGATACCGGAGAAACTGACGGAAGCAAAGCACAGAGAGATGGACACAGGTTTCTTCAGGAAGGAAGAGATTCTTTATTGGATCACCGATCGGGACTCAGAGGGACTAATGTCACCAAAAATACAGCAAGTTCTGAGCCCTGAACAATAGTGCAGGCTCCCTATATAGGCACATAACTCCTCCCATATTAAGCTCCACCCGCACATTCTCTTGACCAATCATTACAAATAAGAATTAACTTCCTGCTTGACCGCATGGCTTGTCCAGCACAATGGAGGAGGGGAATACTACATCCTGTATTCTTGCACATGCTCCGTACACTACTGATCGTATCTTGCCTCGTGCAACCAACTGATCGATACGTCAGCATATGCACGTACACATGCCACGTGGTAATCTCGGCCTACTAAATTTATTTTTACCGAGATTCCACCACATTCCCCCCTTTGATGCCTCTTGATATTTTACAATTACTTGAGGCATCACTTAACCTTGGTTTGCATACACCACAAGTTACCTTTGAACCAGACCAGACTTATCCTATGATGTGAATCTTCAACACTCGTCTTCCTGCATTGGTTCTCCCTGATCTAGAGCCTTATATTTATAAATTGCCATTATCTGTGCAGCAGCCTTCCTCTCTGCTATATTTTCTATCAGGCTTTGCACAGACCTAACTACTAAGGGTATAAGACACGGCAGGAGTAGACACAACATTAAAATCAGTAGGACTCCACCTACCACTGCCTTAAGCCCTTCAAACCACTCATACCAGCTACCAAACCAACTACTTGGATTGTACCCTTTCCATACCTGAGTAGGCACATGCGCTAGTTTAACCATATGGCTAGTAAGCTCAGCTATTGCTTGCCCTTCGTCATCTATTTGAAGACAGCAATTGCTCAGGTTAAACTTCCCACATACACCTCCCTCTACTGCCAAAAGATAATCCAAGGCTAATCTATTTTGGTAAACTGCTGTCCTCATCCTGGTATTATGCTTTGCTAGAAGATTGAGCGCTTGTGATATCTCGTTAGTAATGATCTCAACCACCGCCTGTAACCTTATAATGCGGTTGAGCATATAAATAGGGGTTCTATAACCAAAGGTACCATCCTCTGCCCACGTGGCTGGCCCATAATAATCTATAATACGCTGGGAGGCCATTCATTATCTTCCCAGGCACCTATCTCTATGGGTCCCCTTTTCTTCCTATGATTCACATCATATACTTTAACACCTAAAGTCTCACCTGTTTCAATAGGCAACAAGAAGAAGGATGGTTTCAACATACCCAACACACATGCCCCTTCCCAGTCCTGTGGTAACTCCGAATAGGCCTTCTTACCACAGATCCAGTCCAAATTCGCTGGGGCTCTCCAGTTAGATGTGATGGATAGATCAAACCATACGTCCTTTAAATTGGCATATCTTGCAAACGGGTTAGATGGTTCTGAGACATTTGAAGCCGACCACCAAGTTGTATTCTTTGTATCATCATCATAAGCTTTTTGCCTAGACAAGTTAATTCTCCTACAGAAGTATTATACATCATTCCTTTCCTCGCTATGCAAACATAACCTATGATGGAGGTCTTCAATCTCCACTCAGATTACCTCTAACACTCATATGATAGTCGGCTTGTGTAGATATTAATTGGTCAACTGCCTCAGAACCGGACATTACCTCCTTTGCTTCCCAAGGCCATTGGTCTCCCATGTTAGTACCTCCACACACTTAGCAGTTGGTAACATTAAGACTACCGGCAATACTCTCGGCTAAATCAATGAACAAGTTTTTAGCATTATGGGGGATCTTATTATCTATGCTCATCTCTTCATAAAGGGAATGGTATACTTGATGAGTTTGGGAGGTTACCGTATCAGTCTCTATCCCTATAAACAATATTGTCCCAGGGTCTAAACCCGTCCCATATATTTGAAACCCAAATAAATTACCATATTTATCTAAGAACTTGTCAGGGTTATTTATAAGTATATGGATTGGATTGCATTCCATAGACTTACAATATGGATCAGTAGGCAACTTAGTCACAATCATGTCCTTGTCTGCTGTCTGTCCCCAAGTCGCCCACCACACAAGACCAATATGGGCAGAAGTTATAATCTCTATTTGGGCATCTTGGACTTACATATTTATTTTTACTACTGGGACAAATATATTTATCGTTAGACCCATACGTCCTCTCCCATCTAAGATCCCCACATACATTCCACGGCTTTCTACCACTTGATATTGCTTTACAAGCATCAAATAGCAGAGCACCTGAAGAATATACGGATTTTAATACCGTCTTATTAATTAGGGTCCCCTGAGGATCTCCATTTCTGAGAGTCAACCAAATTGTACGGGGTTGATACTCAGGACTGAAGCACTTAGGTTCTCCTACTCCTAAATGACACACACTATATTCTATATTTAAGTATCTACGTCTTGATACATCTCCTTTACACTCATATTGCGAATGCCAAATTAGGGTCTGGGATATATGGTTACCTGTTCTTGTAGTCTTAATGCATACCTCACAGCTAGGAGTGTCGGTACCTCTACCTTCCTGAATATAAAAATACACATAAATAAACATTATTAAAAATACATCTTTCGTCGTCATCCTCAGTCTTCGTCCGTGCGAAGGCACCTCAGCTTCCAGGATGTAAGGCTGCAGGGAATGGAGTTCTGCTCGTCTTCACAGGGGTCCCCTCAAGACTTTCCCTGACTTATACACTCGTTGGTGAGTGGACAGGCTTTATTATGGCCTTCTCACTCACTTACCAAGTCTCTGAAACAATAAAATTTGTAATCCACAAGGTTCCTCGTCACTCCGACTGAGTCGTGCGTTTTAACCGGATCTTGCAGGGATTCTCTGGATTTGCTGTAACTTGCCAGGAATCGGCTGCTGCTGGTTTAACCCTGGAGTGATGTATCCACGGAGCCACTTCGGCTACTTTTATCGCTGTAGGGGTAGACAGAAGAACAACATAAGGACCTCTCCACTTGGGCCCTAGCGGCACATTATTCCACTCTTTAATCCACACTTGGTCGCCTGGGTGGTAACTATGAATTGGGGGATAAATATTCACAGGTAATCTATCTTGTACCCATTTCTGTACCTCCTCCATAGTCTTACCCAACTCTACAACCTGCTGCCGGGTAATTCCTTCTCCCAACTGACTCAAATCCCCCCTTAAGTTACCAAGCACGGGAGGTGGTCGCCCGTACATGATTTCAAAAGGAGAGAGGCCCATCCTTCTGGTAGGTGTACTACGGATTCGCAATAGAGCTATGGGCAAGAGAACGTTCCACTTAAGTTGGGTTTCCTGACACATTTTAGCCAACTGAGTCTTAATAGTTCTATTCATTCTCTCTACCTTACCAGAACTCTGGGGTCTATATGCCGTATGAAGCCTCCACTTTATACCAAGCATATGAGTCAGTTGTTGTAGGCACTGATGAACAAAAGCTGGACCATTGTCCGATCCTATAGAGCAAGGTAGTCCATATCGGGGTATTATTTCTCGTAGCAGGAATCTCACGACTTCTCCTGCTTTC